CATTAAACTAATGCCCTGTGACTGCCAGGATACGTATGCAGGATGTTTTTATGCCCTAGAACACAAACTATAGATGTTTTCTCCATCCCTCCCATAGACATGCTATATGAGGTCACATCATCAGCTCCACTGAAATCCAAAGAATGACCTCCGTGATTGAAAACATGGAAAAAACGTAAGTAAATGTTTCCAATGTTAGAATAAGAATAAACTAAAAGTTTTATCAAATTTGTAATTATTGTAGATTCAATTTGCTTGATCATTAAATTATGATACATTTTAAGAAACATAAAACCAAGTCTATTCGAGTATAATAACAAGATACCTAATATAATTAATTCAGCGTATGATTAAATAAAATACAATAATAATAATGAAAAAATGGCAAAATAATGATTATTGTTATATTAGTATTATTTTTGCAGCCTATTTAAGCAGTCATATTATCTTTATTATTATATTATATAATAAAGCTTGTGTAGACTGTAAAATGATAATAATAACAATAATAATAATAAGAGCAAGAAAAAGAGGTTTATAAGAGACAGATGCACAGACTGTGCATGAAATCATGCATAATAATAATAATTATTGTTATTATTATTATGCTATCTGTTCCAGCAGTTATATTATTATCATTATTGTTATATAATATGTATTAAAGCTTGTGTAAACGGCAAACAATAATAATAGTAATAGTAATAATAATAGCAATTATTATTATTATTATTATTATGCAGTCTGTTTAAGCAGTTCTATTATTATTATTATTATTATTATTATTATTACACAAGCTTTTAGATATACAAAATCCTCTGTTTTCCTCTTTTCCAGATCTGTCACTTTAAAGTCTCATCTAATATGACTCTCTCTCTCTCTCTCTCTCTCTCTCTCTCTCTGTCACCTTTTCTCTCTTTTCCCCTTTGTGAGTCCTTCCTGAAAGGCAGCAGTAATGTGATTTCAGTAATGTAATTTGTCTGTGTGTGTGCGGACAGTGAGGAGGAACCTGATCCAGGCTGGATGATTTATGATGTTCGTTCCACCGTTTTTCTAAAACACGTTTCTCTTCATTTATTTTTAATCTTCAGAGCGATTAGTTCTACCTGTCACCTGCTATACAGTGTCTGAGCAGAGCGTTAATGAGAGGGCCAGAGAAAGCGGCTTAAGAGAGACAGATGCACAGACATACATTTACTCCACACGAAAACATGCAGAATAGAACAGATAGAAAACAAAGAGCAAACAGTACATAGTACATTTGATTTTGTCCAAGATTTTGGGTTGAGGCCATCAGTGTTGGAAAAAGATGTCACCTCATATGACTCTGAATGAGCATTCACTCAAATCAGAGGTCAGACTCAAAGCAGCCAATTGAAATCACTCCCTGCATTTCCATGGCAACACGCTCCATATATGATTCCACTTACACGCCTTGATAGCTTTATTTCCTTTACTCATCTTTTTATTTCCTTCAATTCCTTCCACTCACTCTGTTTTTCCTGCAAAGCGTGTTGTTTGACAACCAAGCATTTTCATTTGAATAAATTAAACTGAAATGTTATGTTTTATGTCAGTTCATATAAAACATGCTTTATAAAATACAGATTGTGTCAAAGTAGCTTTACAGTAATAAACAGGAGAAATGACAGTTAGCATTGCAAAATTCTTAAATTATGAAACAAATTCAATTTCAGCTATAAAGCAGTTCTACAGAAGACAATAGTGTGATTATTCAGCTCAATTCAGTTCAAGTTTTGTTTTTATCTATAGTGTCAGTGCAGGCAAATCAATATTATTACTGAATATTAATTGTCTTTTTAAAAATGTATTTAAAGGAATGTTCTGCACATTGCAATGTAGTTGCTGGAGCTAAATACAATTAATTCTAAATGTTCTTTAATATATATATATATATACACATACACACACACACACACACACACACACACACACACACACACATGCTCTAAAAAGTGTTGTGAATAAGATTATTTGAGTAGATTTTACAAGAAAATACTATTTCAGTCTTTCTACTTCAAAATTTAATGTTTAATTCAGCTTGTTTCAGTAGTTAACTGCTGTTTCTTTGTAATTTAATAGCGATTTCTAAATGAAAATGTATGTATATAATGAGATCATATATACTGTATTATTTATTCATAAAATTCTGATTTTTAACAGCTTTATATTTCAAATAATATTAATGTTTTTCACATTTCTGCTCATAAATCCTCCAAAAAATGGTCCCCATTTGCTTCTAATGCCAAATTGTAACCCTGATTTTATCTTATTATTTGTTTAATTAAGTAATTAATTAATTTCAATTTGAGGGACCTGTGGCATGTATTTTGTGGTAATCAACATCTGTCTATGCCACAAATGCTGTCAAACTTGTGTTTAACCTGGAATATTCTTTTAATAGTATTTAAAATAGCAACCACGTGGCAATGTTATAAAACCCACTCAGAAAACCTTAAAGGGTTAGTTCACCCCAAAATGAAAATTAGGCTGCGTTTTACTCACCCCCGATGCATCCTAGGTGTATATGACTTTCTTCTTTAAGACGAATCCAGTCGGAGTTATATTAAAAATT